CTTCTGCCCCCAACCCTCACCTCCTTGTACCCCCAATATGTTTTTCCCAATAAAAAAAATATTTTTTTAAAAAAAAGAAATTTACATTAATAAAACAGTCACTTGGTCTTAGAACTAAAAAAAAAAAGGACCAAGAGATAATATTTTTCACATAAAAATTAGTACCCATGTAAACACATACTTATGTAATATGCTAGGCTCCTCTCTCCAGAGTCTGTGGGGGGTTTTGACTAGTATAAGTTTATTTTTAAGAAAAATATATACACACATACAAACATTTACATAATTTTCTAAAATCTTCCCCCATTACCCATTGTAAAATAGCAAGGTCAGTGTGGAGACAGCTGAATCTGCCCTCTCCTACCTCCACCCTTCAACAACATCCACCACTAGTTCCTGTGAGGTCAGACCTGTCTTCCCATGCTCCTGTACCTACTTAATGGGTTCAAAATCCATTGCAGACTTCACAGAACATGCTCACAGTTATAGGGCTTATTAGGGAAATTAATAGGCTTTAATTCAAGTTAACAGCAAGATATAGTCCCTCAGTCCAGAGAGCTGCTCAGTTAACAGCAAGATACAATCCCTGACAGAGGGATCTCTGTCTCTGAACGACCATGCGCCATTCTCTGCTGCTGCTTTCCTGATGGTGAGTTGTCGCTCTCCTGCTATGTAATCTGCTCAATATAATGGTCAGACGGGCCGGTATACCCCTGTAGATAGACTAGCATACCCTGTTAGCATGAGAAAGAAATGAGTCACACAGCTGATGATGTAGGTAGTCCACATGTTTGCAGGGTCAGCAGAGCTGAAGATCAGATTATAGGCACTGTCCCAGGTAAGCTGAAAGAGAACAATAGCAAGACCAAAGACAGAGATCTAGGGAAGCCAAATTTTGAGCAGTAGACCCATTAACTGGGTCTTTAATCAGAAGTCTTATGAATTAATAAAAACTGAGAAATCCTTGTGTTCATATTTTATCACAAACATTAGTCCCTTCACCCTGTGCAAAACTCTTTTACCTAAATTGCCTTTGACTTATGGACCCTCTATAAAGACTTTTATTCCTGAACCACTTAAATTAGATCCAGTCTCCACAATCGCCAACATATTTTATATAATAATAAAATATTTTAAATAAAATATATTCTGTTTTATCATTTCCTTTAATTTGTTTTTTGTTTTCAATTTAAAAAATAGCATGAAAAAAATCACGCTACAAAGAAATAAAAATTCCAACTACAGGAAAATATCTTGATAAAAGTTACACTGGCACATCTGGTTTTATTGTACTTCAAAGGTGTTGCACTTTAACTAATTGGAGATGTTGGTGAGCAAGTGTGTGACACTGTTTTTCCAACAGCATGTGTTCACTTGGTATTTGTATGATATTTTGCATTTCAGATTTTTTTTATAATGCTGCTGCATACTTAATAGACCACAGTAATCTTAACTTGTATGTGCAGTGGTAAAACAACAACAACAATAAGGTCTGACTCACTTTATTGAGGTATTTGCTCTATGGTGATGATCTGGAGCTAAACTTGGCATTATCTCTCAGGTATGCCTATACTGCTTAATTAATTTGACATATACTTAACTCTTCTCAGGTCCACACTAATTTTTTTTTTGGTTCTGATATCTATAGAACAGTTCCATCATATATGATAGGATTATTTACTGAAAATTTTTAAGAGATCAAGTAAATTTATGACAGTTGTTCAAGACTGGTTTTGTTTGTTGTTTTTTTTTTTAATAGGGAAAGACCAGCAGCAATCCCTATAGAAATCAAAAGCATTGATGATACTTCAAATTTTGATGACTTTCCAGAATCTGATATTTTACAACCAGGTAAAGACAATTCACCTAACTATACTAAGACTGTGAAGGTGGTGTCATTTTCACTAATAGATTCTTTTGTTTTTGGTTAATTTTTCTATCTTTCCAGTGCCAAACACCACAGAACCGGACTACAAATCCAAAGACTGGGTATTCCTTAATTACACCTATAAGAGGTTTGAAGGATTGACTCAACGTGGCTCTATCCCCACCTACATGAAAGCTGGGAAATTATGAATGAAGATCACATTCACCCACACCCAAAAGAACTCAGGTAGCTGCATCACCAGGCTTGCTTGGCGTAGATAACAATACACTGAAATACTCCCGGAGATGGTGGTGCTTATTGACTACAAGAGGAAATTCTACAGGATTAGGATTTCTAAGAAGACTACAGGAATTGGTTGGCAGTGCCAGCTGGCCTTTTTTTTTTAAAATATTATTTTTGTTAACTTTATTATACGAAGGTACTGGAATAAAAGGAACGTACATCCCTTTCTAACTGCACTGCCTACATGCGTATTAAGGTCCATTCTGCCTGTGTGTCCTGTGGCTTTGTACTGTAACATTTTTAATCAATTCAGGAGAAACACATATCATTTAAAGCAACATAGGCTAGCCTGTAGGTCACACTGCAGTATTGCTCTTCTACTGCAAATCTTATGGGTCTAGATAATCAGTAAAAGCCATCTTCCATAGTTGGTGGTAGAAGACTTGCCCTATTTATTTGTTTGGACATCTATAAAGTATACATGAATTGAATTTCTGTAATGGTTTTTAGAAATTGAAAAAAGGAAATACACTGGTTATTTAAAATAAGATTTATGATCATGTTATAACACAAACTCCACAGTAGGGAGTAACAGGTTTATAAGGAAGAGGAAGTTTAACACCTTCACTCACCTACTCCACTAATAATATATTTACTTTGCATTCAGAAATACTGATGATCTTTATATACATAGTCTCTATACTCATAGGGAGATGTACTGTATTATATAAAATGTAAAGTTGCTTTTCTTGTGACAAGAGGACTTCTTTTTTAATAAGAGGACATGGCATTATTTTAATTTGATTATAGTGAGTTGAATTTAAGAAATGATCATGAAGGCTGCTTGTAGAACTAGTGTATTTTTATTAAACTATTTTTTTAAATGTCAAACTTCTGATCACATAAATGGACTTGTAGAAAACAAAGAGCTATTTACTTTGGTTTTCTAGGAAGTTGTTACATATCATGACTTTTATTTCTTTTGATGAAAAACTTTCCTTTGATAGTACTTGTATTATTGTGCCATTATTTTCTTATACTCCAAATGTACCAAAGATCCTGAACAGAGTGGATGTTCACAACTGAGTAGATTTTTACTTTCCTGTGGGAATGCTGTATTCAGATAGGACATCTTTGCAAGAGGTCAGCTTATTCGGGGGCAGTATTTGAAGTTTGGCTTCTTCACTGTGGTTCGTAGAGGTGGACTTAAAGAAATAAATGCAGTTGAAGGGGTTGCCATGAAGGGATAGGAGAGTTATCAGCATTAAATTCTTTGGCTGTTTCTCTAACAATTGAATAATCATATAATCATTTCTAAGTCAACATTTTCATTCTAATATGGTTGTCGGAGGTTTTGGTTTCATAAATACTGGTTTTATCAAAGAACAGCCTGTTTGTCTTTACTGCTGATTGATAGAATTTGTTTAAATATAGCAATTATAACCATTCTAAATCATTTGTGATTAAAATCTAAAGTGATGACTTATTTATAGGAATGTTCTTCTTAATAAAGAAGAGTAGTATAGGAGCATTATGAAAATCTACATAAGCTTTAGCAAATGTTGCTGCCAGGTAGCTCCACAATGTTTTTCTTAAATCCTTTGTTTAGTTTGTTTCAGAGAACAGCAATTTGCATAAGACCCAATCTGCAGTTTTGCAGATTTTGGTCTCCACATTGTTTTATTAAGGCCATCAAGGGTTGTGGTGGGGTTCCCCCCACCACCGCCCCATCCTGTTTTTGTTTTGTTTGTTTGTTTAAATATTTGTTGAATACATGTTCATCTAATATTTCATCTTCATTATTCTTCACTAGCCCATGTAGCTGAATACCTAGAAGAGTGCTGTTAGAATTCTGGGGTTTCTCAACTTGACTAGCTGATGTTTCTAATTGTAACAGCTTAATTTTGTTTTTTTCTGGCATATGGAGCAGTTTAATTTTTTTTTTAAAGTGTCAATAACATCTGCCTGGATTTAATCAGATTTTTCTCTCCACCTACCCTTTTTAAAAAAAAGTACTGTCTTGCTAGTGTGATGATACATGGGCAAGATATGAAGTCACTGCAGTGTTCTTCTCTTCGAGGACAGAAAAAGATCATTCATTCAAGATACAGAGATTGATATAACAGAGCTGAATTGTCTGAATTTACTTTCTTTTTGTATAAAAAAATAGAGCGTCATTATCAGAATGGACTTGGAAATACTTATGATTTCCTAGCAGTGGAAGAATAGTTCTGGAAAGTTCAGTTTATTTAGTCTCATTTTTCCCTGGAGTTAGTAGGGTGATTCACAATCTTTGGGGTTTTTTCCTCATCAAAAATATGTTTTAAGTGCCTATCTAAAAGCAATTAAAGACTGTGTCTGCCCTTTGGAATTAAGAATTTTGATTCATGATGCAAATTAACTATATATGATTTGCAGAGTACCCTCAAGATTTCATTTTTCTCTATTTTACATTTCCCATATTTCAGGTGAACAATTTTATTTAAATAACAAAACTCTATCTGATCAACTGGGCATACTGACATTTTCTTTAAATTGGACTCTATTTTTAATTAAAAGAGTTTTCTTATGAACTGTGTTTTGGTTTTTCTAAGTATCTAGAAAGCTTGTATAATTCCGATTTATTGATTTCCTGGTTTAATGTAGACTTTGACTTTTTATTAAAAATATTTGTAACAAAGCAAGTTATGTTATTTTTTCTTTAAATGCATTCCGTACAGCTTTAAATCTCCTTTAAAGTTATTCAAATATACTGGTGTCTGAAAATAAGGTATTGCTTCTAAATCAACCTCTTCTGAGTAGAATATATGACTGATTAAGCTAGCTAGTTAATCAAACGCACTAGCTCACTTGAGCTAGTTAGTTGAATAACGATAACAAATGTAGATTATTAAAAACTTTTGTTGCTTAAGCTTAAGATAGGGTTTCATTTATTTCTATAACTGCATATTTGTTTGTTTTAAACACCTGCATATCTTTGTGTAAAGCTGTGAATTTTAATATATTTTAAGTACATTTATTTTTAGTGGATTATTATAGTTAAACCTTTAGACAATCAATAATTAGTCTCTTCTAGTAAAATAACTTTTCCTCTTTTGCTGATCTCCACGTAAATGAATGAATGGGGATGTTAATCCGTAGAGAGCCTCCTACTAAGCACATTCTTCCTTTGGATTGTCAAGATTCAGAACATTCTGAGTGACCATTTTTGCTACAACCATGATTCTTTTTCTCTTGCCTTTTATTTAAGTTTCATTTTCACTTTAGAAGTGCACTTATTTCCGAAAAATTTTGATGAAACACTTAGAACAAATACAAGACACTTGGGACTACTAGGTATATTTTAGATTTTTATGAAGATGTGAGGGGATATTGCTGCTTTTAAAATAAACAGTAAACTACATTTTAGTTCTTTTTTATAAAAAGCAATATAAATTATTCAGCAATTGTCTAGAAAACTAATTATCAGGCTTTTGAGTTCTATGTTCAGTACTAAGTTAAAAAATGTTTGGTGGCATGAGGGCTTTTTTCATTGAAGGTAAGACAATAAAAGCTATGTTTACAAAATTTCTGTTGGTGAGGGTGTTTTTTGTTTTAGTTTCTAGTTTTGAGGTAAATGCCATAGAAAATTCAGTAGAGTCCATCTTGTAAATGTTTCCACCTTTTACACTTAAGATGATGTCTAGAACAAGATAAACATTTGAAGTTTGAATCATGTTATGCTTAAACAGTTAAGGTAGTTGTGCACTCTTCTATTTCTCTTATGTTTAAAATCTTTGTTTAGATCTTCAGCTAAAAAACCTGGTTGCTCAAATTATAAGATATAATTTGAGGTATGCGGATGTTTTGATTGTTACGTTCCATTGAGTCGCTTGTGACTCAGAGACTATATGTACAACAGCCCTGAACCCTACTCTACCTTGAGCCATCTTCATAGTCTCTGACACACCTACCCCCATAATGCCAGTAACTGAGTCAATCCATCTCATACAGAGTCTTCCTTTCTTGCGTTGTCCCTCCACTCTTCCAAGCATGATGTTCCTCTCCAAGGATTGGACCCTCCTGTAATGTTCCCAAAGTATGTCAGGTGGAGCTTCAAAACCCCTGCCTCCAAAGGGGTAATCTGGTTCCACCCTCTCCAAGACGAACCTGTTCTCTTTGGCAGTCCATTGCATATTCAGGTATGTGGTGGGTATACTTAAATACAGTTCCTTGACCAGTTTTCCTGAAGATGGTTTTCATTACATCTCTGGGCCAAAGCCATTTGGCAAACAGCAAATTGAAAATTCTTCAAATTAAGATGTAGTCTAGAGAGATAAGCTGTCCATCTACCACTCCATGCTGCACCATGAAAGACATGCATACTCTTAGCCACGCAGAATCCTTTTCAACATACGTGGGCTGCCTAAATTGTTCTCTGGCTTACATTATTTCAGTAATGCCATTATAATACTATAAGAAAATACTGTACTGAATCTCAAAATTTGATATTAGGACATACTTGACATACTAAATTCATCTTTAGGAAGCATCTAATGGTCTAGAGTTGGAACTCACTCATGGATGGAAAAATACCTTAGAGATAATGGTTTGTTGTTACATGTCACCAAGGTGGAACCTGACCTTCCAGCAGGTTTTCAGAGACAGTAAATCACACTGGAGATTACCCATATTTCTCCTACCAAGTGGTTGGTAGATTTGAACTGTGAGCATTTGGGTTGGCAAAGATGGTGCAACTTCGTCTTACTTACTTGGGGCATATCTTCAGAAGCATCCAGTCCTTGGAGAGAGACACCATGTGGGGAAAATGTAGAGGGCTAGTTAAAGAGACTCAGTCTCAGTGAGATTGATACAGTGCTTACCACAATGGGCGTCGGCACAGCAGAAATCTTGAAGATGGCATAGAATAGGGCAAGGTTCAGATCTGTTCAGAATCTCTCAGAGTCGAGGGAGCGCTGGTGTCCTAGTGGCAAGAAGGTGTACTGCAATCCCAGAGGTATGTAGTTCAAATCCACCAGATTCTCTGCTGGAGAAGGAGGGGCATCAGATCCAATTTGACGGTACACATGCAAAAAATAATAATTTAAAAAAAGAATCTCTAGGACTCAGAGTCATCTTAATGCTACCTAACAAAAGCAAGGGCTGTGCTACCAACCCAAAAGCAGGCAGTTCAAATCCACCAGCTACTCCA